ATTGTAAGTATAAAGGAGGTTAAAAAGGAAAAATAACATCAGATGTCCTTTCTAGGGATCCTGGGGGACGGGTTCATGCAGATGTCTTATTGGCAGTTGGGAATATGGATGTACGATGAACAAAACTGCCATGGGGAGGTATGAATTGGGGATGCCTTATTACATATTGCGTGGTAATTAGGACATCAGAATGGATGTGGTCACTCAGAGAGTGGACAATGACAAAATGACCTAAACATGACCTAAACAGGGAAGGGTGTGTTCCCTGTTTATCCTGAAGGGAAGAAGTGTGTTCCAAAGACACAGTGGAGCTTGTAAGGCCAGTGCAGACAAACTGCCCACGGGACCTGGAAACAGACACACTTGGTATCCTTAGGACAATTTGGTTTAGTAGAATGAATGGGACACAAACCAGATGGGACTGGGTTGAAGAGGAAACATAAGAACGAGAATTCAAGACACTGTGTATAAAAACTAGGTTCGTAAACTTGTTTGTGGAGTGGAGGATTGAAACAGAAGGTGCCTGGAGGAGAATGTGGGTTACCATGGCCCCTGCACAGCTTTGCTCCTATTTTCTCAGAATCATTTTCATAGAACAGCTGAATTGGCACAAAACATATGAACATTTTCAAGGTTTGACTTGTTTGACTTAAACTCATGCATCGCTTATTTGGCTAAAAAATGAGTTCCCATTGTTCTAATGAATGTCCCAGCATTGGCTTCATGAACATCATACACATTTGTGGAAACCAAAATGACTTTTCACAGCAATGAGACATCTAAAAAAAATAAATAGAAGAAACTGGTTCAATATTTTCCCCCAAACTGGCCAAAGTACAAATATTAAACAAATGCAGAAAAATCACATTAGCCATGAAACAAAATAAAACAAAACAAAACAAAAACATGTAAAAGAAAGACTTCAGTGACTTCATAAATTCAGATTTTAAAAATGTTGACAAAAACACATAATATGAAACTTAGGGAATCATCCATACCTCACAGTACAGGATTTGTTATTGAGCTACCCATTGGGCCATTTAGTATACATCTATGCGTGTAACTTTTTGTTCATTTTGCTCTACTGTTATATTTAATGTGAAAACTTCCTCTGCTAGTTTTCTACTCTCAACATGAGAAATACAGTTCTTGTTTTCTTGTGTCTTTGTTTTTTGTAAGGAAAGTAATCTAAAAACAATAATCAGGTAATAGGCAATTACATATTAACCATTTTAAAAATTAATACTAATTAATATTAGAAATTAATATTACTTAGGGTTCATGCTATAATGAGAAGAGATTGGAAAGCTGTACACTCTCCATATACAGGTATTGGTCAGAATACATATCATTTGGTCATTCTGTTTATCATTACATCAGCAAAGAGATGAAGAAGTAAGGAAGGGGACCTGGAAATGATCCTCTTTAACAAATACAGTTACTGAAACGATTCTCTTTACCTAATACAGGAAGGGCTCACGTGCAGTCGTTTTAAGGATTCTTATCTCTGCTTTGTCACAGAATGCATTGAGTTAAGTTGTTCAAAATTGTTGTTAGAATGTTTTTCTTGAAATGAGTAACTCTAAGGACATCATTCCTTCAGAGCGAGCTATACTGATGTTATGTATGTACGCATATATTGTAGAACTTTCGATTCAACGTGCAACATTTAACTAGTTTGGAAGTCGTCATTCCAGACCTCACAACAGTACTATAAAAAATGCAGAATGAACTGAAAAACAACAATTTTTCTTAGAGCTCGGGAGTGAGGTCACAGGGCAAACCCCTGCCCTGATAACTGGACAGGAAGAGGGATGCATAGAATCACACCTGATTTGGAGCAAAAACCTGTAGCTGGGGCTGGGACTGGTAGAAATGCTTAAACTGTAATTGCAAAATTGCTGGAAGTGCATGGATGAACTTGTAAGTGAAAACCTCCAGGAGTCCAGAGTTCGTGGAGTTGCACATTTTTTATAGAACTCATTTTCAGGAACTCCATCAGGTCCTCACCGTGAAGATCACAGAAAAATGTCCTGGTTCTTCTGGCAGAGGAAGGGAAAATGTAGTCATTCTGAAATACTCTGAATGTTCTGCCATCTTTAACAAAGGGTTGCCCTCACAAAGAAACTCTTTTACCAGAGCCTAACCCACCTGCAGGAAGAGAAACGCCTAACTCCAGTCCCCTCTAGGCTACCCGTCTTGTTTTCTTATATTTTTTCTCCTGTGGTGAAAAAAAAAGCTGAGAAGCACTTGTGAAGGTCACGTCCCAGGATCACAGGCTCACTAAAGGACTAAGAATAACCACAGGGTAATAGAACACTTCTGCTCTCCCACAGCAACCACCACATCAGCTGGATTCTTGTCTAACAAATGGGATTACAACCAACAACACCTGCAAGGGTCAGACTTTATTTAAGAAGGAACTTCTAGGGAAAACCAAAGACAACTCAGTTTGAGAAAAAAGCAAGGCCTCAGGAGGAAATTTTAGCCTCTACATCTACAGCTACCCCTACACCTATACCTATAGCTACAGCAAACAGTAACCACAGCTGAACTCTTAGCCAAATAAAGCAAAACTTCCCCCTAAAGACCAATAAATTTCAGTTTCTTTTACCTGATACATCGTGTACAGCGCTCAACAAAAACTTACAAGACATACTAAAGGGTAAGAAATAGTTGAAGAGACAGAGCAAGCATCAGAACTAGACTCAGATATGACAGAGATTATGAGATATTAGACTAGAAATTTAAAATAACTATCATTAATATGCTAAGGGCTCTAATGTATTCATATATTCCTTTGCCTACTTTATCTACATCATACTATGTATGATATAAGTTTTGTTCAAATAATATCAAGTTTATCTTTATAATGTATTCAAATATAACAAAATATGTTTACTTTTTTCCTGGCTTTGTTGAAATATAATAGACAATTGGTTGCTCGTAATTACACTGTACAATTCCATGAGTTTTCTTTTTAATTATAGTTGGCATATAATAATATATTATTTTCAACTCTACAGCATAGTGATTAGATATCTATCTAGCTCACAAAGTGATCACCCCACTAAATTTAGTACCCCTCTTCCTTCTTACATATTTATTACATAATTAACTATTTTCCTTATGCTACACTTTATATCTCCATGTGTATTTTGTAACTATCCATTTGTACTTCTTAATCCCTTT